ATGGACTTTGTAGCATCATCTTGGAGAGCAAGAACTAGCATTCCAAAAAAAGGTAGGATGGAGTTAAGTTTTCAGTACTTGATGTATGTAAATATGATTTTATATTATCAATATTCATTGGATTTCATTAAAAGTATTTGGTAATGTAATTGTTTCACTGTATTGCTTTTTTGCCGTGTCTTGCCGAGTCATGCTGTCTACACTTTGCTCAAGCAGCTCAAGGCTGTGGTGAAATGTCACGCATGGGAACTGTGTTCTGTCACCAGTGTACAAGTTACTGTATCCCAAAACGTCTGTGTTTGCAGGACATACAGTGTGAGAACTGCAGTCATTAAATGGGTGATATCACTAGAGATTTTACTTTTCTGCATTGTCATTCTGGTGGCTGTACTGTATATGAGCCCAGTGACACAAGCATCATCTTTTCGTATCATTTTGGGCCATGTTGGAGTGAAGCTGTTAGTGGGGAGGGAAGCGATCCAGGCGGTGATGACTAACAAAGCACCTTTATCACGAGAGACGCATTTTGTCTCTTGTTCTTTCATGTATAAATCATTCGCAAACAAGACCTGTATTCTGTTTGTCTTTGATTAGATTTGGTTTCAATCCGCCAGCACCAGGAGCAGTCTGAAAGTGAGAGAGTGCACTGCGTTCTCTGCAGATGATACTGTGCAGGAGGGAGTGACTACACTGAACAAGAGTAAAAGTCTTCAGAGGAATGAGCAGTGACAACAGATACGTTTGCTTCAGATCACAGACACTGATAAATAAAAAACAGGAATTTATACCATTAAGAAAATTAAAATCAATAGGAATTAATTTTAAGATGCTTTTGTTAAGTCCTTCATATGACTCTCCAGATCAATTTTTAGACCACTGCCCATCACAGCACAGCGTCCAGATGCGCACAGAGATCACTAACCCACCATACCAAGGCATCCAGATGTCCATATCTCCTCAAATTATAATTCAACTGAGTCACAGAAACAAAGTGAAAATATTAACATTCTGACTTAAGTGCTTCTTCCTTTATCTAAATTCAGTTGACAGCTGCACAGAGATGTTTTCAGTCCTTTGATTGCACCGGTACTCACTTTGTCTGTCCAATAAATCAGCCAGAGCTGGAACACCAAGGCGTGCACACAGGCCAGTAAAAAGGCTGTTTTATCTTTGACAATTTAAACCTTAACTCTCAGCAGAGTCATCTATAGGACTGTAAGTAGCATTTTAAATGGCTTTGACTTTCTTAACTTATAGTTGCAGGGGAGACTGAAGTGTAATGTTTTTTTACACTGTACACATGGAGTTCAAGATGCATTGAAACAAATATTAGAGGTTTATGGCAATACAAGCAGCAGATGAATCTGGGCTCATGCTGCAAATTATAAGTCAAACTTTCTGTCTTGGACAGTGTGGATCTTAGGCTCTTTTCCAAAACTCTGGCTGTACTAAGACTGGAGGACTCCCACCTGCTTTCTTTCTTTCCAGAGTTTGCCTTCCTTCACGACAACCTGAGTCACGCAATCAAAGAGATTTGCATATCTCTTTATCTCCTGCACCAATCCATTAATATCACATCAGTAGTACAGCCAAACCCCAATTTAAGGCATTGTAGAGGCATGACTTCAATCAGTATGCGGTACTGGCCAAAAGAGTGGCAATCTTCTGTGAGGATAAGGCTGACATAGAGGCGTGCAGCTGCTGCAAGGCAAAGATGAGGTAGAGAGAGGGGTGCCTGGTGAAAACGAGTAAGCGAGAAATGTGATATTTACTGTACATGCGAGTATCTGAAAGTAGGTGCGATTAGGGTTTAATCCTCCCTAACTTCGATATAAAAATTAATTTCCTCCTTTAATATTGTGTTATTGCGAAACCTTTACGCTACCTTTCTGACTGTAAAATGACAAGCATGTGTGTGTTTGGGCGAGATTGTGTGTGTCTGTGTGTAACAGGGCGCAGGGGGAACTGAGCTTGGTAAAGACTGACATCACCCTTGAAACCCAGAATTCTTTTTCAGCAGAAGACAAGGTGACACTGTGACACTAGAGTGGGGGTGTTTATGTGTAGATTTTTCATGAACTTGCTCCATGCTAATAGTTTTTTTATTATTTGATCTATTTCAGCACTTTGGACAAAACGTAATAGATTTATATTTATTTCCTTATGAATGAACCTTAGCTTGTCTTATTTTTCTCTGCTGTCTTCAGCTGTTTCATTTACTCTTGGCTTTTTCTTTTTTGCTTCAGCAGTGACAAAGATGTGATTATCAGCAAACATGCATTTTAGGCAAACAATAGGAAATCTTTCTTATGGTGTCACAATGTCCTGACATCAACTTGCTTTTTACATGTGAAGTCATAATATAATTATTATACCACCTACAGTTAGGGAATTATAACACCTATAGTTAGGGAATACTGAGCATTACATTTCCATGTGTTCTTGGTTTCTCAGCACAGTTTGTTAATAAAGTAATAACTAAGCAGTGATAGGCCAGCTGTTGCACACAGGTTACAGGTTTAAATTATTCTGTTCAGGATGTAAAAGGAATGCACAGTGTTAGACTGTTTGCAGAGTTTGTGAAATAAAGATTCCTTCCCTGCAGTCTTTATGCCATAATGAGTTTTAATGTACTTAGGACTATTTATCCACCTTATTTGGGTTTAGTTACAAAAGAATGCATCACTCCTTTTACAGACAGAAAATACAGAATTCTAATTGCGAGATGGGGAACAAGTCAGATAGGTATAGTACTGTGGAGCTAAACTACATAAACCATTATAGGTGAGATTCATGAGAATCTTAAAGGTGACTCGAAGCAGTGCAAGGGCAAGTGCAAGAATAATGTGATCATAATGTGATCAGTGGCTGCCAAATTCTAAACATATTGTGTGGATTTAGTTAACAAAGCAAGCGGGGCATTACAGTAATCAATTCTAGAAAAGACAAATGTGTTGACCAGCTTTTCTGCAACAGTCGTAGACAACATGGGATGCAGTGTGGTGATTTTCTGAGATGAAAGAATTTTGTTTTTAAAATATTCTGCACATGAATAGGTCAAGGGTCAAGCCAGACTCAAATATCACCCCTAAATTAGTCAATTCTGATTGAAATTGAGGCACAGTGCCGATGCAGTACGGGGAGGTGCTTTGTAGCATGAACTCAGTTTTGTCACAAAACCTTCAGTACATCAGACCTGGAGTGATGAATCCTCATACATTATGGTCTAAATTCAAGACAAGTGTAGGGAATTTTTAATCATTCAGATTTTTATATCAGAGATACAACTGATACAGAGACAGCTACTTCAGTGTCAGGTTTAATGTGGGGATAGATCTGTCATCAGCAAAAATTATATTTTGGTCAATGTGATTTTAATATATAATTGGGAACAGGGAGTCCAGTATTTAACCCCAGGGAACACCAGACTTAATAAACCACACTTCAGAAATAAAAATCCCAAGGAGAAGTAGTGTCGGATATCAGTAAGACAGAGTTGAACCATTTAAGAGTGATGTCAGACACTCCAAACACAGTCTCATGATGAGAAAGTAAGATGTCATGGTTAACAGAGTCAAAGGCAGCACAGTGGTCTAGGAGAATTAGTATAGATAGAGAACCAAAACCAGCTGCCATAAGAATATTGTTAGCAACTTTAAACAGGGCAGTTTCTGTGCTGCAGCCTTGTCTGAAACCAGACTGGAAGGGTTGGTAAAGGTCATTGCAAAGAGGTGATTGTTAAATTGTATTGCAGCAGCATGTCTAAAATATCCACAAAAAATCAAAATACAGTCAAATGCAGAGGGAACTTGCATGAGATAAAGATCTGAGTTTGTGCTCATACAGTGATACAGTACAGTGTAGGCCCACTGTACCAATCTCATAGAATGCTGTGTTGCTTTTAGGACCTTCAGACAATTTGATGACCCCCTCAACTACAATAATATCACGTGGAGGTTTTAAATTAAGTAATACATAAGTATGGTTTGCATGGCACACCCAGATGTAGAATGTTAAACACATCGGAGAACTAGTGACCAGGAGGACCTGCGGTGCGAGGTGGCGACTCTGGCCAGTGAACAGCCGCTGGCTTGGCTGTGGCACATCTGATGTGGTGCACTGGAGTCATTGCCAAAGGGTCTACAGTGCTGCAGGTGACCCTGCCCAGTACAATCATGCTCGCAAATGCAGCAGCACAGATTTCATCCACACCTCACTAGCGTACAGTATTAAAATCATCTCAGTACATCTCCCGTCAGACTTGTAATATTGCTGTGCAGATTTCTGAGTGACCTGGGGCCAAGGAGAGCTCTCCTCAGAACTCTAATCAGTCCCCAGCACAATTGCTATGCATAGGCAGTCAGGGGAAGGCTTTCAGGTGAATAAAATAAAAATAACAGTTTCTCCCAGAGAACAAATGCGGCTCAGATATGTATTTTTAATTAGTTTAATCCTTCTCCAGAAGCAAGGCAGGCAGAACGGGGATTGCTGAGTGTGATAGAGAGCATAGAGTCATTTACATACAGAAATGACTCCAGCATAATCCGGCTGTTTAGAAGGCAGATCAGAGCAATGAGCCAGACATCAGAAAGAGCTTTCCAAGATACAAGCATCACAAAGGCCAGAGCAACAGAAACTGAATTACAGACTCAGAGCTGCTGGGGTGGAAGAGAGGCTGATGCCGCCTGAATACAGAGATCAGGAGAAAGATTCCAAGGAATAACATTCCGAGGAGAGTCAGGGAATAACTTCAGTGTTTGGCAGTCCTCTGCAAGATTCAAAGCAATAAGATGCACAAGATATTGAACCTAATTTCTGCTGATTATGTATTCAAGAAGAAGAGTGGATGAGATCCTGCGATCAATTAACTGCTATTAAACAAACTAGATTACCACTGCTTACTCTGTGTCCTCCACCCTCACTACTCCCCTGACTTCAGCACTTTCCTCCACTTCTGTACCCATGTTAATCTCCCTTTGTTACTCTCTCTGTCTCCCCAGGGTATTTCTGAGAGCCATCACCCAGTTTGCTGAGACTCTGTGTCAGAGCTTTCTGCAGGGCATCAACTTTGAGCTCCAGGTAAGACTCACAGTTTCGAACATCCCTACTCTGATGGGCCAGACAAAGCTAAGCACAGCCATCCAAAGTGTGGAAATCAATATCCTGCCACTCATGGAGATTAAATTGGCAGGAGGAAAGTGGCTCAACATGATCAAGCACCTTGTTCACAGTCAATAGTGCAGACGGGGACACTAACTCATGAGATGACTGTTGGACCTCTGCAGCCATTACATGAAAACTACAAATAAATGCTCTAGTTGGTGATACAGTAGGATCTGCAGTTGTGTGTTGAGGATGGGGTGGAGACTCCTGTGGTTTTGCAGAGTTTTGTCTATTTCCATCTGTCTGAACTGAGTTCTCCAGGTTCAGAATCTTCATCAGGAGCTGGAGGAACTTTCTAAACTGCAGGCGGTGTACAAACAGTAGGATCTCTGTCTGTCCTTCCTTGCTTCAGTAGATACCATTTTATTTGAATTTTATTTTCTGTGACAGTGGAAATTAAATTAGTTTAAATAAGGCTTGAAACCAGTCACTCTGAATTATATAAATCAAACAGTGGATTAAACATGGTCTTTATGTGAGCTCTCCTTAGAGTGATGATTGCAACGGTTTTCACTTGCACCTGTGAAGTCCTTCTGGTCCTGAACAAGTGGTCCTCAGTGGTTCACATTGGTGTCTTGTGTCTTGACATCTTCTTTAGCTACATCTTTGAAATATAGATGGGGGAATCCCACTGGCCAGTTGTCATCCCATCTCTCTGGGATGTATCCATCACCTGTTCATCTTGTGTGTCCAAACCAATGTACAGTACCTTTGATTGCTAAGGAAAGTAGGCATAGTGCAACTGTGAGCTCCAGCAATGGCCTAGGACTGTTAGGATAAGATAGTATGTCTGATGCCCAATGCATGTGAAAACGAAAGATGCCAGTGTGTTGTTCACTTTACTGGAATACGTGCTTGATATTTGCTCTAAATAGCTGTGCTTAATGTCTTGAATAAGTTGATGTCTACATTAGGCACGAGTTGGTCATAATACCAAGCATAGATAATAGAAACAAAGCGCTGGCACTCTTGTGAAAATCTCTTGATCATGAGATATGTGTCCAGCTTGGGGCTTGTTATACTGTAGCTGAGTGAGCCATCAGTAAAGAGTAGTTCTCAAGTTAAAGACCTTGTGGATCTTATTCTTGACTTCAAGGTATGTGAGACTGGGTAGTTTTCCACCTGACCAGGTGTGAAGATAGATAGCTTTGGATAGTGAGCCAAATATAGTCTATGCTACAATATATGAGAAAATCTCAAATAGAAAAAGTACAAGAACACATCCTTCCTAAGAGATAAAAGAATTGTGACTGTTCACACTCAATGCCAATAGAGTTAGCTTCAATTTAAGACCTGAATCTTACTTCTGCTTTGTTCTGCTGCAGAGGTATACCCAAATATTTAAGGGGAGAAAATTCCAGGCGGAAATCAGTTCTGGGGGCCTGTATCACTAAGGAGGTCCA